ATTGGTAGTCTATCAGCCAACAACAGAAGTCCTGTTTCCATATGCCCCAAGTTGGATGCAGGTGATTTGGTATTAAACTTTCTGGTAGATGGCAACAAGAAATCAAGATATCAAGCACATGCAATCCAACAGACTCCTCCGAAGTCCGTAAAAGGGCGGCTAAGTAGTACGGATTAAAGGATAGTCTCAACATGAACGTATATCTATTGATGTTGTCTAATTCAAGGATTTTGAGGCCAATCCGTATCTCACAATGAAAATATTGTGCTCGTTTAGGGCTAAAATTTACGATAGGAACATTAATAAGTATGGCTAAACACCCAGCTGTGCCGAGGCTCCTTTTTCTGGCCATCCTTGGAGGCCGTGTAACCTACATGTACTATGTAGGTCGTCCATGACGCTACTATATCTAGAAGGTTACGCTACATGTAGGTTAGCCTACTACTACGTAGTGGTAGCTTCATACCTACTTCAGTAACCGCGGGTCACCGACGCGCTATTTATAATAATTACCCCTTTTACGGGCACTCTCACCTTTCACCTCTCTCAATCGCAAACATCCAAATGACGTCCGAGCCGGTCTTATTCAAGGTGAAGTTCACCGTAGTAGAGAACAGCAATCAAGACAATTGAAAGTTTGGCAATGTCACGTCGGCATGAGCAATCTGTTAATACACCAACAAGTCGTGGCACAGCGTCAGACTCTGGACCTCCGGTATCGTTGAACCCTGACACATCCAGGATAACCCAGTCGACGCTGAATATCCCGGCCGAGAACACAGAGCGCACAGAGCGTTCCGCTGCACCTCCACGGCCCGACACAGCATCATCCGTCACAGATAGTGATGCCGAGAGCTCCGCCCCGTCGCTTGGTACTTTCTCGGTCGGCTTGAGTGTAAGCTTGTCTATTAAACATCGTTTCGTACCTATTTGATGTTGATTTCGATTATAGGTCGATACTGATGATAGCGACGCTGATTCTGCATTTTTTAACAACGATCTATTGTGAGTGCAGAGATCTGAAGCATGAATCAGCACCCATGTTCACCAGGCGCCTGCCATAGATCTTCGACTGTCTCTGCCACTTCTAGCGTTTACAATTTCGTTGAAGAGAATGGCAGAACTTATCATCGATATAAAGAAGGGAGTAAGTTAAAGCATATTCGTAGGTTATGACAATCGAACAGCTAAGTCTCGGTTTAGGGTATTGGATGCCAAATGACGAGGTGAGTAAGGCAACAAGCATCGAAGGAATCATTATTGAACAGTTCACAGCAAGAACAACAGCGCTTAGGTAATTCAAAGCCGCCGAAATGTCAAAAGGATTATCGTACTTACTCGCGCGCCAGATCTTCAACATATGATATGCATCAAGGTTTTTCGGGGCCAGCTAGCACTCGCCCCAATTGAGAATCCGGGGAGAGTACTAGACATTGGTACCGGCACGGGATTATGGGCGATTGACTTTGGTATGAATTCCTGTATGTCATCAGAGAGCAAATCGAAGCGCTGACATCGTTTAGCTATCGACCATCCTGAAGCTGATGTTCTCGGAACGGACCTTAGTCCTATCCAACCAGAATTGTAAGCCGCGACTCAATAACTAATCACGTACCAGTCTCTTATCATTTAGTGTTCCACCAAATTGCCGGTTCGAGGTTGATGATATCGAAGACCTATGGGTCTTTTCACACAAGTTCGACTACATCCATGCGCGACACATGGTTGGCTCTGTCAAGGATTTTCCTAAACTATTCCAGGTCATCTATGACAACTTAAATCCGGGCGGCTGGGTCGAGTTTCAAGATTATTGTGAGTCAAGATCATATTACAAAATACCCCATCTTAGATTGGTCAGGCGTAGAAGCTACTCGATAGCTCGATGAGGCTACACTAGGATCTAGGTTCCGACGACCTATTCGAAAGCTAGTTGCTAACGATGCAGATGTCAAACTCCAATCAATCGATGGTACACTCGACGGCACTACACTGCAGCGCTGGAACAACATGCTTAACCATGCATTGAGTTTCACGGGCCGCAGCGGGCTAACTGCTGCTAAATACAAGGGCTGGCTACGACAAGCTGGGTTTCAAAATATCGAAGAGGAGAAGTTCGCCGTACCGGGAAATACTTGGGCCAAAGGTACCGAACAGAAACAATTAGGCTTTATGCAAATGGAGAATATCCTCGAAGGCATACACGGGATGAGCATGACGCTATTCACGAAATTCCTCGGTATGTCTGTGGAAGAAGTCGAGTTGATGCTCGTAGATGTGCGAAAGGACCTGAGAAATCGTGACATACACTTCTATTATCCTATGTGAGTCTAATCATACGCTTGTGTCGCCCTTCTGTTGATATCTGGGAGGATTGAGCCCCGTATAAGCTCTAGCACTGATAATCACTGCAGGATGGCTGTATACGCGCAGAAACCGGCATGATCAACAATGGCCGATGTTACAACCAATGCAGAGGATAACACCAGTGGATCATAGAGCCCCTGCATACTTTGCAGTCCTGATCTCTGGATGTTCCTCGTCATATCAGCTGAACGGGCACTGGGATAGTACGGTAAAACCGCAAATTCTTACATTCTTTATACGATATAATCTGTGAAACTGACACGCTTCTAGTAATTAACGGTTTAGAAGGAGTTGGGATCTAACTACAGTTACTTGCTGTTGAACTAAACTGAAGGGGGAACCTAGATCGGTTGAATGACCAGACGAAGGACTGCAGATTAAAATGGTGATCTGTAGACCTTTCATTCCCTAAAAACCACACCAATGATTGCATCAAGAGCGCCTTCAGGCTGCACAATAGTTTCAACGTTAAATCGCTTATCGGCCGCTTTGAACACTTCGACCCATCCTCTTCTCGTCCGTTCCTTAGAGTTGAATCCCTGTTTCATCATCATATCCAGAGCTCTGATAATGCATTAGCGACCATTTTTATCATAATAAGGAGAGATGAGATGCTATGCAAATCAAGATATTGGTGGCGTACCTTTGTCTCTGATTCTGCAAGTGTTTTTCTTCGCTCAAATCCTCAATCACTATATCATTTATCCAAATTCTACTTCCATTCTGGAGCGCTGGCACCAGATTCCGCAGGATCTTGACAACGTACTGATCGCTCCAGTCGTGGAAGATGTGGCGTAGCACATACGCATCTGCGCGGTGCGTCACCTTTTCCGTAAAGAAATTGTACTCCGCAAACTCGAGCCTACCCTCTAGGTCACCGGGTGCTTTGGCGTTAGCCACTACTTCCGGCAGGTCCAACACAACAGCCTTCTTGACCCCGTCATACCTGCGCAGGATCGCCTGACACAGCTCACCGCCCGCTCCGGCGATGTCAACGATAGTCTCTGGGCACTCGCCGGTTTTGGCCCAGGGCAGGTTCTCAACAAAGTGGCTTGACGCCTGGGCGGGTGAGCTGAGAGAGAAACCCATCGCCGAACGGAATCTCTTGACGCGCTTCTCGTCGCTGGAAATATAATCGAAGAAGCTCTTGCTGGGGTCCTTGACGTCCTCAGGCTGGCCTGCCTCGGCTCGGCACCCGATCATAAGTGCCGCGTGACCAGGTTCCCCACTCCCGGGATATCGCCTCAGACTCTCGACGAACTTGATGAGGCCATACGGGAAGTCTTCGGTCCCCAAGCCGATGTAGCTTTTCATGCCTTCGATCACGAGCGCCGACGACACGGCATTGTGCTTCACCGAGGTGTCAACAGCCGCTTCCTCAAAAATGCGGGAGGCGATGGCGGCTTGGACCACGCGACGTGTGTCATCTAAGGGGACGCCGATGCGCGCCGCGAGGTCCTCGTACGTGATAGACTCGTTGGCATCGAGTGGGACATGAGACGCAACGTCGAAGGAGTAGAGAAAGTGCAGGATAGCAATAATAGAGGTCTGAGGTTCGTAGTTAGTTATTCCTCTGAAGCTATAAGCAGGGAGGTGCAGCGTACCTGCTCTAAGGATCTGTTGATAAGGTAACCTATGGGTCCCAGAAGTCGAGCATGAAGATCGTCGACAAGTTCGAGTAGATCAGACCGCGCGGTCTCGAGGGAAGGACTCAGTGAAGTCTTTAACGGGGACCCGTACGTAAAGGGCAATCCAACTCCCCCCGAGTTCTTCGTCGCGTTCTCTAAGGCAACGGCCTGGTCTTTGATGAGCGATGCTAGCTCAGACACTGACTTCTGAGGCGCCATGACGGTCTTGGGTATTCGAGTCTGGATTTCTCGATGCAGAAATGGTAGGGAAAATAGGACAAGTAGTGAAAAATCTAACGAATACACAAAGGTTAATGTGTCTTGATATATATGATACACTCCGGACTTCGAGTCTTAAATACCACTTCCCCTACTCCCTCTCCGAGTTTCAAACCTTATTTGCGACCCCGAGCCCGACCTACCGACCTATACTCCGAGGGTTACAACCGATATAAGGCGGAGACAGACACCTTGCAACCTAGCTGCCTAGTTATTCGGACACCAGTGCTGTCGGAACCCTCGTAGATACCGAGACCGAACGCTCGCTGTCCGTATTTATCGAAGGATTTCGTAGCCATGTTGTCTTACTCTCTAATACCTTATAATCTACGCAAATTTACTCGCTGTTCGATCATTCTCGCAATCCTATGGTCGTCCTTATGCCGCAGTGCCTACGAGGCAACGCGAAATCCACATGCCGTGCCCCTCCACTCGTCCAAGTCAAGGGTCCAGACTAGACCCCGGCTACGCCTGATTTAGCATCCCACGAGAGCCAAGGCCCCATCTAGCGTGGTGCCTGGCAGGGATATTTGTCATTTAGCCTGTCACTACTATACGTCATCCAGTCTAGCTTCTCACTGCAGACTCCTTCATCTAGCTTGGTTATTAGATAAAGTTTTCACTCCCGCCATCGAATCAGCGGCACGGCTCGTTTATAAGCATTATTCACTAGCTTTGGCCCCGTCGATTAATGGGATGAGGTGTTTCGATTGTCCCTCGACATGTCGGTCCGAATTGGTGTAGTGGCTAACATTTGACGCTCTCATGGTCCGTATATCTATATGTACTAAGACGATCCGTCAAGCCCGGGGTTCGATTCCCCGATTCGGAGGTCCATGAATCGGTCGCAAGTTTGACGATGATTTTTTTGCCGTTTTTTTATTATTATGTATGTGCCTACACTCTGCATATGTGTGCTTGTCACCTATGTCGTGCTACATCGGCAATTTGAACAAAATAATATATATGATATCACAGTCGTGTACCATCATTACCATCTACCCAATCGTTTTCCAATACATTAAATCTCTAACTAGCATCCAACAACCTCCTCAAACCAATCCAATATGACCTGATCGCTGAACACACTAGCGCCAAGGGAGCAGTGCTCACCCGCACCATCAACAGACTCAAACATGTGGTAAGTAGCGCGGTCGCCCAGCGCAGCAGCAAGCTTCTTCGCCTGTCCGGGGAAGAACATATCGGCGTCGGCATCCGCCACGAACACAGGTGTGGTGATATTCCCCACGAGCCCGTCGCCCGCCAGCGAGTACGCCTGCAGCTTGCTGACCCAGTCCCACGGCGTCGCGGCCGCGAACGCCCACATGCCCTGCTCGATGCCCCAGCGGGCCGAGGTGCTGGCCTGGCCCGAGGCGAGGTAGCCGTCGATGGCGGCGTTGAACGCCGTCGCGTTGCCCGCGCGGTACAGCGCCGTCAGCTGGTCGCCGAACTGCGCGAACATGCCCTCCGCGAAGTCGTACAGCCCGTCGAAGGCGATCACGGCCGCCAGCCGGTGCTCGAAGGCCGCCGCGCGCGGGGCCAGGAAGCCGCCGAAGGAGAGCCCGAGCAGACCGACGCGCGCGCCGTCGACCTCGGGGCGCGATAGGGCGTAGTCTACCACGGGCGAGACCACGCGCTCCCACTCGGGGATGAAGCCGAGTCCTTGCTCCCGCCGTACTGTAGGCTGTCCAGGGCCCTCGAACGTGAGCACGTTGATGCCGCGCTGTAGTGCTGCGGCGCCGATGATGTGGTACAGTTCCTCCTGCGACCCGTCGAAACCGTTGCACAGGAGGAGGGTGGGTCGCGGGCCGGGCTGCCCGCTGGGGAAGAAGACGCCGGGGATCGTGAAGTTAGAGTTGGATTGGAGGGTTATCCGCTCGCCGGGGGTCGGGAGCAGTGCGATGGCGGTGTCGAAGGCAGCGCGCTGTTGTGCCCACAGCGAGTTGATCCGAGGGTCCGTCCAGTTGCCGTGTAGGAAGAAGTCGGCCGAGCGGTAGTACGTCGACTCGCGGAACAGGGCGCCTCGCGCAGACGCGGGAAATCGCCCGGAGTCGATGGCTTGAGCTTTGGTGTGCACGCGCGTGGCGAGGTTATTAAAGGCCGTGTAGTAGCTTTCGAAATCGCCGGCGGCGATCTGGTTTGCTGTGATCAGCAGCTCGCCTATGTCTGATCCTCCGTACGGGGCCATGGCCATGGATCGCAGTATTTCGAAGTGGAAGTCGGGATCGGAGCTCAGTTGGAGCATGGAGGTTGAGCTCGTGCTATTGTCTCTCTTGGCATGCTGTCCAAACTTTATGCGTGACAACGGGGAACACTGATAGCATGAGTTAGCAAGGTCCGGTTGAAGTTTATCATTCTATTGCGAAATATTGGAACACTTACAGCAACTAAACTCGATAAGCTTAAGAAGAGAAGAGGGACCTCGAGGAACTTCATATTGCGCTTTGGTAAGTACTGTTGCTTATGGCTTGAAGTTGCTCTGCTTATTATTGCTAATGGCGTAGACTAACTAGGTAAGAGGTGATGGTGATTGCGAGAATACTCATCATTGAAAATAGAGAATCCATTGCATTTATATTCAACCATGAATAGCTTGTTCCTCACATATTCATCGCGCTCGTTTAGATGATCGAATAGAATCCACCGCCGATCGTGACCACGGTAGGTGGGTAGTAGCTGGCAGGGCTGATATTAGCTGCAGCTGCTGAATGGGCTGATGACATAGCCTCAGTAGGAGCCGAGAACGAGAACGAAGGTGATATAGTCAATTTCCCGTCAACACTATACCATGCTCTCAATTGCACACGTGGCTCAGCTCTTTATGGGTATATTCTCATTTTGCGATCGTCTCCAAGGGCCACTTCATGAAAGATAGCCATTCGTCGGTTAGCGCACCAGCGATGCCCCGGACTTCATGGTTTCCTGTATCCTTAATCCACCAGTATCTATCATATTTTCCCAATAAGGCGAAGTAATGAGCTAAAATGACTAAAGCCCGCGGGATTGATGCCTGGACCAACTCAACGTATCGCCGGTGCGCTAACATCGGGAACATTATGAGCATTCTGCACGCATCGTTGGACAGCCCGTCCGCTTCGATTGCGTCTAAAGCCCTACAAATATGACCGCAGGCATTTTCATAAGCAGCCTCAATCTCTGGATCCCATGGCTCACTGCCATGAGTGCTATCAACGCAATGCACCAGATGCTCAAGTCGTCCAGAGCTCTTGGGGTTGGCCATGCTTGCATCGTTATGGATGTGTCGTGTAAATTTCATTAATTGGAATGCGACCGAGTCAGGTGCAATGCCCTGGAGTCTCCATGCCTCTTGGAAAGTAGAGATTGAAGTTCTCGTCACAACTAGCCACTGCCATGGCGGTGTATATGGTTGCAGAGATCTCCCGTGAAGACGGACGAAAGCAACGAGGCGCATCAAAGACGATGTCAAGCAGACTGTGTCAACTGTGTCTTTACTCAGTTGAGACAACTCCTTGGTGTGTTCTCGAACGGCCATCGAAAAGTATTTGACGGAAGCAGCTTCAACATCGAACTTCTTGTCCGTGCCAAGCCTCTTCAGGTGTATAGCTGCTATTGTGTACATGGAATATAGTAAAGCATCGGAGTTAAAGCATAGTTTTGCTACATTTCGGGAGAGCATCTCTTCCGACTTTTCATCAATGGCAATTGAGCTACCGGTTTCGGTAGTGTACTGATGTAGTAGCTTGACCTCCATCATTCGCCGTGCTTGGCACTCCGGGGGGTCATCTTTCTCGAGCCCACCGAGAAGGTGATACCGTTGCTGAGGATCTATCTCAGGCGTCTTTGGTGATCCAGTCCCAGACTCGGGACTGTGGCCTGTACTATTGGGTTGTCTTGTATTTGGATTGCGATCATAAATGCACTCCGCCCCATGCCTCTCGCAGTTGTGACATATCGGTTTTCCCTCGTTACACTATAGATAATGAGAAATTTGTTAAGGACGCGTAAGTAAGCCGGAGAGATGATCTACCTTGACTCTTCGCGCTCGGCATCGTTGGCACCCAAACATGGACTTCTTGTGGCCTAGCTTCGGCGGCCGGCGGACAGCTAATGATCCCGATGGAGTTGTCATATCGGACATTCTATTTCATCAACAACCAATTATACAGTCGTACCCGCTTGTGGTTGCGACGTGGCGTTGAAACAGAAAGAGAGGTGAGACTGTCAAGTTTCGTTCTCGTTCTCGTTCCCGCTCTTCCGCTCCTGTTCCTGTCAGCACTGCCGCCTAATGTTCCTTCGCCTTCATTTGGTTAAGTCAATTAGCACGTGGCAGCACGGACCATCTCCGAGATGCTGGAATTCTCCGTAAGGTGGCAGGGTGGGCCAATCTTACTTTACATCTACAACATCACATCCGTTATATAGATAAAAGTGTGCAGGTTGTCTAAATGAGCAATGCATATTGGTCTCTCTTTTCAATTAATGTGGCTTATCTGATCCTTGATGTCTAAGGGTTATGCGATTTTGTAAACGAGTTTCTCCGCGCTGACCTTGCCCTCCGCCTGCTCCTTGAATCCCGTCAAGATGTCGTTGATGCCACCGATCTCTCTGACCGGGTTGGGCTTGATCTTTCCACTGCTCAACAGATCCGGGAGTAGGGACAGGTACTTCTCCCACTGAGCCTTATCTTCCGGCGTCGCTTCTCCGCAGTTTTCGAAGGTGCTGTATTTCAAAGGACGCTCAAAGACGGTGTACACGATGGTGCTCTCGAGCCGGACCTTCTTGTTCTCCAGCTTGTCCTTCACCTTATCCACGGGGAGGATCGCCACAATGTGTCCGCCCTTCGTCGGCGACAGAGCCCGGCTGACGGCATACAAGACGTCTTCCTCGCCGATGCAGTCGAATGCGAGCTCGAGACCGTCATGCGTGATCTTGCGCACTTGCTCGGGCCAGTCAGCGTCCCGGTAATCGATGACGGCATCAGCCCCAAGCGACTTCAGCAGCTCGTGGTTCTTCTTCGACCCCGTGGCGATGACGAACGCGCCGACCAATTTCCCGAGCTGCACGGCGTACAACCCGACGCTCGAAGTGCCCCCGTTCACGAGGAACGGGAACGCGGTCTTCGCGGGCGCGCTCGGCTCCGGCAGCTTCAAACGCGCGAACATAGCCTGCACGGCCGTGGCGAACGCGAGCGGGACGACCGCGGCGTCCTGGTACGACACGGAGTCGGGGATGGCGTAGACGAGGCTGGCCTCGACGACCAGGAACTCGGCGAACGCGCCGCGGCGCGGCTCGGGCGCCGTGCCCATGACGAAGCCGGACACGCGCTGCCCCCGGCGCCAGGGCGAGCCGTTGGGGTCCTCGACGGTGCCGGCGAAGTCGCAGCCGAGGGTGCGCCCGGGGCCCACATTCGCCATGGATTTCCAGTCGGTCGGGTTCTGCGCTATGTAGTGGACCTTGACGAGGATCTCGCCCGCGTCGGGCTTCGGCACGTCGACGTCCTGGACGGAGGCCGTCTTGCCCTCGGCTGTGATTAAGGCTTTCATGTTGAATGCGGTTCTGGTATGTATTGGATATATCTCTGGTGATACGAAGAGACCCGATATAGGGAAAGCCTATTGGAGCACTCGTTATATATATTGAAGGGCTCCGGGAATACACACGCCCGCATTTGTCAGTAGGTTGTTATTACGTAATTACACTTACATACGGCCGGGGGAATGTAGTGCCTGAGAATGCCTAGGAATGCCTAGACTCCTGCGGCACAGCTAGAGCAACACAACCTAACATTAGATTAGCACGTACATCTTAGTAATTTGTCCCGACGGCACAGCATGAATTAATCCAAGGAGT